GGGGGGGGGGGGGGGGGGGGGGAATCGGAAAAGGTACTGCAGGTTAGACGTGGACCTGTAGGCTGGTAAGTACTGTCCCCCTTATGGGTTTCGCGCTGGCTTCCCTGCAGACCCCTCGGTGCCCCCGGGCCCTCTGACTCACCTGAGCCTGCCGGACAGCTCAGAGGAGCGGCAACAGAGCGACGGGCCGAGCCTCCTGGGCTGTTGGACCAGGTAACTGCGGCTTGGGCAGCTCGCCCTGGGTGGGGAATGCCAGACAGCTAGAGCGAGCCCAGGCGGCAGCTGCATTTAACCTGGAGCGGGAGGACGGGGAGGGGGAGCGCGGGCTGCGACCCCTCCCACTGGCAGGACGAGATCTCCCCCTTCCTCTGGGCACCCGGGCCCCGCGAGCGCGGCGCCCCCTTCTCCCGCCACTCTCAGAGCTGCAGGCTCGAGCTGCGGCCCGGAATTCGGGCGGCGACACTCCCGGCAGCCGGAATGCTCTGGAATCCTACACGAGACACTTCCCAGAGGAGAGCCCCAAGAGGCGGAGCGGCTGGCCGCCGCCTGCCCGCCTGCCTGGCCTAGCTGGGCTTCGGAGGACGCGCCCGACTCTTGCCCTCCGCAAGTGATGAAAGGCCGGGATTCGGTCCTGCTGTGAGGAGGGTAAAAGGCCTCAGAAGGACAGCCTTCAGGACCCAAATTTCCCAAATATCTTCCCCCACGGACCCGTTTTCATGCTCCGTTTGATGGTGCAAGCTTTGAGAGAGCCCATCCTCACCCCTTAAACTCTCTCAGACTCACAAACAACAGACCCCAGAGAGCTGACTTGGCTCACCCTGAAAGCCCAATGTCTTGATCCCCTACATTCAAAGAAATGAACTCTCCACCCTGCGGAACATTGAGCCAGAGGTGTTGTTTGGGCGTCAGAAAGACTCAGATCCACCCCCATCCTGGTAACATGGTTTGGGGCCTCATTCACACCATCTACCTGCTAGGCTTGAGGCTGTGCTCGGAACCTAGAGCCTGCAAAGGCTCTTTCCCTCATGTATTCCCATGGAATGAGGGCTTAATGACCATTTCCACAAAGCCCACCTCCATCTGAAAACCCAGTGTAGAGCTTTTAAACACAGCACATCTGCCACTATGATCCCAGACTACAACAGCCAGGGGGTCACACCCACAGCCACATGGTGCGCCTGGCAGGCTCTGGGCAGGCTTCATGGAACCCAGTATTTTAGCCCATGGCTACCATCCTCCTTTTCACCCCGCACTTCTTCCCCAGAAAAAGTCAACCTCATCTTCCTTCACCTTGAGCAGCGGACTTTGTGCCAACTCAACCCTTGACTCTCCTTCCTGTGGCCGGTTGGCCTAACCCCATCCCTAGGTCACCTCCAGAGCATGCCGCCATCTTAAGGGAAGGTGTGCGCTCGTGCCTGCAGCAGAGATGCGAGCAGACTGTGTGGATCCTACATGCCAAGGTGGCTCAGAAATCCTACGGAAATGAGAAGCGGTAGGTGATCCCACGGTCCCTCCACAGCCTTCAGGCCCATGCCCCCCTCCAAACCTCCCACCATGGAGCTTCCTTTACATCTTGGAGGCCTCAAGGCCGACACCTTAGCTACCGTCCAACAGGGCCCTGTTCCCCAGCCAACAACTGTTGCCGCCTCCTGGGATTTACAGAAGAACCTCACAGTGACTCTCAGATCCCCACATTATTCGTTCGTTCGGTTACTTACTAAGGGTCACACACCAGGCCCTGTGTTCACTGCTGGGCACTGAGCATCCCCCTGGACGAGACCGATGCAGTCTCTGCTCCCTTCCATAGCGCCTTCACTGCAGGGTGGAAGGAGCAGTGGAAGGAGCAGCCGCCCCCCACCAATCAGCAGACAAGTTGCTTCAGACTTCGATGGGAGGCTAGAAGGGAAACAGGGCAGGTCACTCACATAGCAGAGACCAAAGTGGGATGCCTCAGCTTGAAAGGTCAGGGAGGTCAAAGGGCGCTTTATTGAGTGACACTGGAACTGTGGTACCAATACTGAAATGGAGCCAGACGTGAAAAGATTCTCCAGGAAGCATTCCAACTAGAAGGAACAGAAAAACGCAAGGGCCTGAAGGCTGTACTAGTGCTGCAGGAGGATGAAAGGGAGAGACTGGACAGAGGAGAGGCGCTAGAGGAAATAAGCAGAAGCAAGCAGTGGCCAGGCCATGTGAGAAACTGGGATTTTTATTTTTTAATTTTCTTAAAGATTTATTTAATTATGCAGTCTTCTGCCTGCATGTATGCCAGCAGGCCAGAAGAGGGCACCAGATCCCATCATAGATGGTTAAGAGCCACCATGTGGTTCCTGGGAATTGAACTCAGGGCCTTTGGAAGAACCTCTGAGCCGTCTCTCCAGTCCGAAATTAGGATTTTTAAATCACTAAAGGATTTTAATAGGGGAGTATCACATTTGAATCATGTTTTCATTAGATTAATAACATATCATCTTATTTTATTTCTTTTATATTTTGGGGAATTGAGACAGACTGACTCTGTAGCTCAGGCTGGAACTGACTGAACCTACAGTAATCATCCTGCCTCAGGCCCAATCCCCTCTAGTACTGGGATTAGGGTTACAGACATGAGCCGCCACGCCCAATTTAATTTTAACAGTTTTTTAACAATTTATTTATGAATGTATATAGGTGGTTTGACCACATGCATATCTGCACACCAGAAGGGGGCATCAGATCCCCTCACAGATGGCTATGCGCCACCGCGTGAGGGAATTGAACTCAGGACCTCTGGAAAAGCAGCCAGACTCCTGAGTGGTCTTTCTTGCCTCTTGACTGCTAGTTTCATTGTTGCTGCTGTGTGTGTGTGGAAGACACAGCTCTCGTGGAGGTCAGAGGATAACTATGTATAGTTGGTTCTCTTCTTCCACCTTTTGATGGGTTCTGGGGATTGAACTCAGGTTATCAATGCTTGCCCCGGGCAAGCATTTTACCTGCTGAGCCAACTGTTATTTAAAAAGTAATCTGCTGGGCATGATGGCGCCCACCTGTGGTCCCAGCACTCCGGGAGGCAGAAGCAGGTGGATCTCTGTGAGTTTGAAGCCACCCTGGTTTACAAAGCCAGTCCGCAACAGCCAAGGCTACACTGTGAAACCTTGTCTCAAAAAATTAAAAGTGAAGAAGAATGAGGAGGAAAAACCTGGTTGCTATGTGAAAGACAAATTCAAAGAGAGGGCAGTAACAAGGGAGAGACAGTTGGAAGGCTGAGAGCAGGGAAGTCAGGAGGTAGTGGTTAGGACCAAGGTGGAGATGGTAGGAAGCCAACGGATTCCAGTTGTGTTTTGAAGATGGAGTGGGCAGGACTTACTGATGAAGTCTAATAAGCGAAAGAATGTACTGTGTCAATGGGGTTCACTCAAGGAGAGAGAAGAGGGAATCGAATCATGACTCTGGGTTTATGCCACCTTGGGACACTTGTAAGACAGTGAAAATGATCTACGTGTCCCCAGGTTCTTCTGCCCTCCGCCCTGTGTCTACCTCGCTGGCCCCGGCTGGAGGGTGAAGCCAACACAAGACCAAGGTGAGCGCGCCCTCCCGGGCTGTGCTCTGTTCTCTTCGGGAAGGACCCACTAACTCAGCGAGGCTGCGGATCCAGGCGTTTGCAGGCGCAGCCTGGTTGCGCCCTCTGGCGGCAAGAACTACGTTTGACTAGCATCTGAGTTAATCCTTCCAGAGTTGACTGCCGTCCTTTTCCAGCCCACCAGTCTGCGGAGACCGGACCCACCGTCTGCGGCTACATGGGACTGGACGGCGCGTCCGGCAGCGCTCCTGAGACGCAAAAGTTGAATTTCGAAGAGCAGCCGGACTCCAGGGTGAGTCTGCGTGAGAGAGCATCCCATTCCTGCTCCCAGCCGTGCCCCTTCTTTGCAGAAGAGGATTCCCCAAGTTCCCTCCAGAAGCCGAGAGGCAGGCGGGGAGGCCAAAGGGTGGGTTCTGATCCCGAGCCGAGCTAGAGCGGCCTCTTGACATCTCTGATGGTACGGATGTCATAACCGCGGAAGGTTGGCTTATCCGCCGTCAGAGAGTTGAGTTGAGACGTGCCCCATCCCCATGAACCTCGTAGGAATTTGGTTGTGCCAAGACCCTGTACATCTCTGACGCCGACAAGAGGAAGCACTTCCGGCTGGTGCTGCGACTCGTGCTGCGAGGAGGCCGGGAGCTGGGCACCTTCCACAGCCGCCTCATCAAGGTGATCTCCAAGCCCTCGCAGAAGAAGCAGTCGCTGAAAAACACAGACCGTGAGAGGGCCTGGAGCGGAAGGGTGCAACTCAAACCTAGAGCTGTAAAATGGGGCGGAGCGTGTAGGGGCGGGGTCGGGCGAGAGGCGGAGTCTGAGTAGAAAAAAAGGGAGGAGTCTGGGTGAGTGGCTGACCTAGGCCAAGAGAAAAGCCCCAACTTGACACAGGCAGAAGGATACCAGATTTGAGGATGACAGTGGGGGAGGGGAGGCTCAGAAGAGACAAAAGCCGAGTGCCAAGCCTGGGTCAAGTTTAAAATTAAGAAGGTTGCGTAAGCCAAAGACAGGGGCTTTCGTGTGTAATTCGGTTACTCAGATGTCAGTCTGAGACCCAGATCTCTATCTAGGCCAGCCTAGGAGTGAGGGTAAGACAAAGGACAGGAAAGAAGAACAGAGAGGGAAGAAAGGAGAGGGGGGTGGTTTGGTTGATTCGATTATAGCATGTCGTGTTGCTTGCTTGAGAGTGTCTGCCTGGAAAGTGTCCCCTTAGGCTGGGTGTGGTGGCTCCCAGCACTTGCGGAGGCAGAGGCAGGCGGATCTGTGTGAGTTCAAGGCCAGCCTCGTCTACAAAGGGAGTCCAGGACAGTGCGACTCCAAAACCCAGCACCTTCGTGTCCTTTTTTAAAAAAAAAAAAAAATCTTGTGGAATGTCCCAGATCCAAGCTGTGTTCTAAATGGCCCCTTGGTATTTATGAAAAGGGGATGTCACGGTGACAGTGTAACGGTTAAGAGTGCAGAATCTGGCAGTCTGGCTTTGAGTCCTGTCCTGAAGCTTGCTAGCTGCCTGGTCTTAGGTAGCTTGAGCTCTTCTATGGAAATAGGAGAATCAACTGAGCTGATACGTGTGTTTAGAAAAGTAAAGGATGGGGGGATGGCTTGTGGGCAAAGTGCTTGCAACACAAACATGAGAGAGCCTGAGTTTGGGCACCCATAAAAGCTGAATGTGGCTGCAGGCACCAGGGACCCCAGCACCGAGCAAAGAGACAGGAGGATCCTCCTCAGACTCTCTGGCCAGAAAGTTCTAGTCAAAATGGTGAGCTCTCAATCCAGTGAGAGCCTTTGCCTCAAAAAATAAGGTAGAAAGTAATCAAGGAAGATGCCTGGAGTCAAGCTCTGTCCTCCACCTGCTTGCACACACATCTGTGCACACACGTGGGGAAAGAGGGAAGGAGGAAGGGAGGAAGGAAGGAAGGAAGGACCTATTGTATGATAAGTTCAGTGGGAGGGGCTTGGCTAGCTGTACAGGCATGCATCTGTGTATCTGAGCAGCAACTGCTCCCAGTGCCTTTCCCCCAACTAGTCCACAAAGTCCGGTGAGAAAACAAAGCTGCGACTCTGAGCACATGCCATAGGCTGGAAGACCTATCAGTCTCTAGAATAAAGTCCCGCTGCTAGTTCACACCATGTGGTCTTTGCTTAGCAGCCACCTATGCAACTCCAGCCTGCCTGCCTCACACTTCCCTGGCTCAAGGAGGCCTCCTTAACTCGGGCTAAATCCACCACATCGTGTTAGCACTTTGTATCTATGCCGTCCAGAGTAAAGCCGGGCCCAGTTCACACATCAGTTCCCAGCACAATGCCTGCCACAAAGCAGGTCCCAAGTTACGTGATGAACTGAGGTCACTGAGTCAAAGGATGGACGTCCAGTTGCACCAGGAAGCTGGCCAGCTCAAAAGCAGGACTAGAGCAGACCCTAGAGAAAGGGCTGTGAAATGCAAACACCCATCATGTCCAGGCCAGTGGCTGTGTTAGCCAGGCTGCCACACGGGACAGAAGATTACGTGGGGAGTCTAGGGGAGCACACGAGGCCAGGGCGCTGACTCCCCTCCCCTCTTCTCACAGTGTGCATCTCCTCGGGCTCAAAGATCTCCCTTTTCAACCGCCTGCGCTCCCAGACAGTGTCCACACGCTACCTCTCGGTGGAAGACGGGGCCTTTGTGGCCAGTGCAAGACAGTGGGCAGCCTTCACACTCCACCTGGGTAATCACATGAGCAGGTGTCGGCTGGGTGCTCCTTGTGTGTTAGTGTACTTAATCACCACTACAAACCAGTGTGGCTGACCCTTGGGGAGGACCGTAGTGAGTCAGTGACTAACCCAATCTGCTCTGATCCCAGCGGCTCTGCCCTTTCCCCTTAAGCCAGTAAGTGGCTGCCCCAGGGAGCACACCTTCCTGGGGATGACCACAGATTACCTCTCCAGGATTAGAATCTTGGTGTAAGGGAAAGCCAGAGGAGAGGAAGCAGGGTTTGGGGAAAAGTAATAAAGCCTTCATTTTTGTTTTTTTCTTTCTTTCATCCTCAGCTGATGAGCACTGTTCCCAAGGGGACTTCCCACCCCAGGAAGGCTACATCCGCTATGGCTCCCTGGTGCAGCTGGTCTGCACGGTGACAGGTGTCACCCTGCCTCCCATGGTATGAGGAAGGATGGTTGTATCCACACAAGTAACCACTGATCAGTACAGAATTGTGGCCACTGTGCGCAGGGCTGGAGGGTGAGGCCACAAAGGCATAAAGACACCTACTCTCTCTCTCTCTTAGTGCTTAATGGGAGCGTGCCCCGTGACCTCACGGCTATCAGAATAGAGGTTCCTGGCTGGGAGAGCAGCCTCCGGGGACCCCTCACCTGGCTCCCGCTCTTCCCTCCACCCTTCTGCTCCAGATCATCCGCAAAGTAGCCAAACAGTGCGCCCTCCTTGACGTGGACGAGCCCATCTCCCAGCTACACAAGTGTGCGTTCCAGTTTCCAGGCGACACGCCCGGAGGGGGTGGCACCTACTTATGCCTTGCCACGGAGAAGGTGGTGCGATTCCAGGTGAGAGGCAGAGACTACCAAGCATCCTCGGAAGAACCCAGAGAGCCGCAGGGTGTAAGACCTTGACCACAGAGGCTGCTGCTTAAGGAGTAGTGCTGCCTATGGAAGAGTAAAGTCAAAGAATGTAGGGGGGGGGTCATTGCTGTTGTTAAGCAGTATTCCTTCTCAAGGGCTCCCAGAGGTTGGGATATGAAACTGCAGACTATGGGGACTGGAGAGACAGCTCCGTAGTTAAGAGCACTTGTTGAGCTTCCAGAGGATCAAAGTTCGAGTCCCTCATGGTGGCCCACAACTTCTCAACCACCTCTCGCTCCAGCTTTAGGGGATCAGACACTCCCTCCTGTCCTCTGAAGGTCACACACATGTATATTCATATATACAGAGATAAAAAGAAAAAAATTGCGGAATATAAGCAAAATCGTAGTAGGAAGTGGTACTGAATATTGTTGAACAAAATCATAGGATGTCAAGGTACAAAATCATACAATGTAGAAAACAATAATTATTAAGTAATATTCCTCCGAAAGATGTTATTTTGAAATGTTAATAGATAGAATCTTGATATAGAAAACAATTATTATAGCCAGGTGGTGGTGGCACATACCTGAAATCCTAGCAATGGGGAGGCAGAGGCAAGCGTATCGCTGTGAGTTCAAGGCCAACCTGGTCTATAGAGTGAGTTCCAGGACAGCCAAGGCTACACAGAGAAACCTTGTCTAAAAATAATAATAATAATAATATAATTTTTTATTTTGTGTGTTTGTTTGAGACCGGCTTTATTCATGTTGCCTAAGCTGGCTTGTAACTCTCTAAGTAGCAAAAGCTGACCTTGAGTTCATAACCCTTCTGCCTCCACCTGTCAAGGGCTGGCATATTGGCCACTGCTCCCAGCTAAAACTGTAGAATGTTAGAGCAGAGGATTTTTGTTTTTGTTTTGTTTCGTTTTAAGGCAGGGTTTCTCTGTGTAGCCCTGGCTGTCCTAGAAGTCCCAGTGAAGACCAGGCTGGCCTAGAACCCAGAGATCTGCCTGCCTCTGCCTCCTGAGTGCTGGGATTAAAAGTGTGCACTGCCACTGCCCAGCTAAGGCACAGACTTTTGCAATGTTGAAAGAGTACATACGGCCGGAAGGACTGCTTAGTGGCTAAGAGCACTCGCAGCTCTTTCAGAGGACTAACGTTTGGTCCCCAGCACCCATGTCAGCTGGCTCACAACTGTCTGTGATTTCAGTTCCAGGGAATCGGACGCTCTTTTGTGGCCTCCGATGGCACAGGACACATACACTTACGTAGACACGTGCACACACTTGCATATAAATAAAAATAATCTTTTTCAAAGACAGGGGAGCCTGGTGATGTAGGTTGTAATCTATATGTGCGGCTGAGGTAGAAGAGCAGAGCTGTTCAAGACCTGTTGTGCTACAGTGAGTTCAAGGCCAGCCTGGGCGATTTAGTGAGACCTTGTCTTAAAGAGTAAAAGGAAGACTGGAGATACAGCTCACCGGTAAAGTGCTTGGCGAGCATATGTGGCATTCTAGGTGTGGTTCCCAATACCAACAAGGAAAGACTTAGGAAAACCAGTTTATTAGAAACCTAGCTGGCTCAAAGATTTGGTTTAATCTACATGAGAGAATGTTAAAATCTTGGGGCTGAGGAAATGGCTAGTTGGTAATGTACCTGCTGTGCCAACTCTGGCACCTGAATTCAGTACCCTAGAACTCACATCTGGTTTTGAAAAATTGAGCATGGTGGCCCACACCTGTAACCCCAGCACCTGGGAGGCAGAGACAGGAGGATCTCTGTGAGTTCGAGGCCAGCCTGGTCTACAAAGTGAGTCCAAGACAGCCAAGGCTTCATGGAGAAATCCTGCCTTGAAAAAAAAATTAAAAAAAAAAAAAGAAGAAGAAGAAGAAAAGAAAGGTGGAGAACAATTGAGGAAGATATCTGGCCTACACACACACACACACACACACACACACACACACACTCACACACACACACGGCCCATACAGTGTGAGGCTGTCACCCAAGCTCCCTGAGGCAGGTAAACTGCAAAGCTTAGAAGGGAAACTTGGCCACTAGCGAAGCTTCAGTTCCGTCCCCTGGACTTCCTGCCAGGCTTCCCTCTGCCCCAAGGAGGCCAACAGGGCACTGCTCAACGACAGCTCTTGCTGGACCATCATCGGCACCGAATCGGTGGAGTTCTCCTTCAGCACCAGCCTGGCCTGTACCCCGGAACCTGTCACGCCGGTTCCGCTCATCAGCAGTCTAGAGGTAAATCTGCCGGGTGCCTGCTTGCATTGAGAAAGGGGGGAGGGGCGCTGTGCGGGAAGGGCAGGAGGCTCCTTCTACCCACCCCCCAGTCACCTACATTTGGTCCCACCCACCTCCAGCTGAGCGGCGGAGGGGACGTGGCCACGCTGGAGCTGCATGGAGAAAATTTCCACGCTGGGCTCAAGGTGTGGTTCGGAGACGTAGAGGCAGAAACCATGTACAGGTGCGGATCGGGGTGGGGAGGGCCAGCTTGGGCCTGGGGATCAAAGACTGGAATGTTTGCCGACCTCCATGCCCGACCCCGCAGGAGCCCGCGGTCATTGGTGTGCGTGGTGCCAGACGTAGCGGCCTTTGGCAGCGACTGGCGCTGGCTGCGCACTCCCATCACCGTGCCGGTGAGCCTGCTGCGCGCCGACGCGCTCTTCTATCCCAGCGCCTTCTCCTTCACCTACACCCCGGAATACAGCGCACGGCCCCCCGACGCTCACGAGCCTGCCCCGGACGCGGACGCGCTTCTCCAGAGCATCCACCACGAGTTCACACGCACCAACTTCCACCTCTTCTGCCCCAGCTAGGTACCACCACCTGCCCTGTGGCTGACGCCCCGCGCCGCTGTCCATCCAACTTCTTGCCCCTGTGCTAAGAAAGGGGAAGAGGCGGGGATTTCTCACCTGTCCTCAGGCCATCCGCCATCCTCGGACATCCAGTAACTGTCAATCAGGAGTGATGGTCTAAGGTCTTCACGGTGTAGGGTACTTCCTGTTTTTGTAACCGTGTAGATCCATCCTTCCGTCTTTGTCTCTGTTTGGCTCTTCCTGAGTCTTTGACCTACTCTAAGGATCCAAGTCCAGACATCTGGGTCCCATGAGGTCCCTCTTAGAGCTAGCATCTACCAGTGGCTTCACTCCCTATGGCACCTTCGCCTGGGTTTGAGCTCTGGCCCACAACATTCGTGATCAGGCAGAGGCTTAGGTCAGCAAGTCAGGTTTTGCCCTTTTCACTGTACCCAAGGCCGCTTCTCCTTCAGGCCCAATGGGAAGAGCCTGAGGATAAAAATCGTTCTGTATCCAGGTACAGGTGAACCAGAATCCACGTGTGTGTGTGTGTGTGTGTGTGTGTGTGTGTGTGTGTGTGTGTGTGTGTAGGTGGGAGAGGCGCTGAGTGCTCACTGGGTTCTGCTCGAGTCCGAGTCTGATGGAACAGGCACCTTTAGGCCTCTCTGTAGGAGGAAATAGAGTTCCGAGGCAGCAGATACCCTTGAGCCCCTACACCTGGCAGCCCTCGCAGCCAGCAACTAGCTATACCCCCCCCCCATGCCAAGCAAGAAGACACTGCAGTCAGAGGCAAACCCAGGGCCTCCTCAGACCATGCCTGCTCCAGGACAAGGCAGACAGAAGCCATGAGACAACCGGGCAATAATGGAAGTGAGAATAGGTCCTCTCCATACAGGACCTATTCGGGAACAGCCCATCCCTGGTCAAGCTTACTCTGCCTACCCTGTGCTCACATGGAAAAGGGAACTGAGTAGATCATGGCTTGGGCAATAAAAACCAAAGACATATGGTATAATGGGTGTCAGTCTGTGGTCTTGCCTGGTAGGGAGGACTAATCTGAAGCATGGGTTCAGTCTATACCTATAACACCCTAAACATGCCAGATCTCGTCTGAAATGTGAGTTCAAAGCTCTAATGATCTGGAACTCTCCTTAAGCCTTGGAGGAAGAGCTCATTTCCTGTGAGCCCTCTCACCCCCACCCCACCCTGGAGCTGGCCCCCAAATGCGGAAGGTCCCATATGAAAGCAGCAGTAAGATTTGTTCACAGACTATAGAGGCATGCCTTTAATCCCAGCCCTTGGGAGGCAGAGGCAGGTGGATCTCTGAGTTCAAAGCCAGCCTGGTCTACAGAGTTTCAGAACAGCCAGGGCTACACAGTGAAACCCTGTCTCCTGTCTCCAAACAAGCAAAAAGACTTCGTAGAGTAGTCACTGATTTCTTTCTCTGGTTTTCTGTTGGTTTGTTTGTTTGTTTTGCTTTGCTGTCTTTACTGATTTCTGTTATCTTCTATCAACAAGCTGAAATTCACCACAAAAGACACTGAAGAAGCTTGCTCATGTGGCCCCAGACAGTGAATCTTGGCTAAGAAATTCAGGGCACATTTTTGATCAGCTATGTCCCCAACATGAAGTACCCTGCCTTGAAAACTTGTGTCACAGGCTAGAGAGATGGCTCAGAGGTTAAGAGTGTTGGCTGTTCTTCCAAAGGTCTTGAGTTCCATTCCCAGCAACGGCATGGTGGCTCACAACCATCTATTGTGAAATCTGGTGTCCTCTTCTGGAATGCAGGCACACATGCAGGACGAACATTGCATAAATAAATAAATGCATATTTTAAAAAGAAAGAAGGAAGGAAGAAAAGTTGTGTCGCTATCCCATGGTGTTGACACAAGAAGGAAGCAAAGGGGAGTTTCAGAGAGTGCTGAGAGGCTGCAGGGCTGTTCCGGTGGCCCTCTGGGCTTTCTCTGCTGCATCCCAAGGCAAGTGTGAGCCCAAGCCCAGGAGTCCAGCTCTGTGGTCTTCTTTGTTTCTCTCACCTTATAATCAAAGGTTCTACCTGAAAGTCTGACTCCAGGGCTCCAGCTCTGCCCAGTTTTGAGTTCCTGCTGTAGGACGGATCGGTGGAAGTACTCCCTTACCATAGTCTGAATCACCTGGCATCAGCTCCTTCCCAGTCCGTCCTCTTCCTAGCCCTGGATCTTCTCTCTGCTTCTCCAGCACACAATTCTACCATCAAAGCTTGGGGACCCCGTCTCTTCTTCCACAGCAAAATAGTCCCCTCCCGACTCCCCCTCTCTCCAATTCTCTGCCTTCTGCATCCAGGGGAATACCATAGAAATCCCGAGTGAAAATTCATGAGCCCCGTGTTCAAATCTTACCAGTAATTTCAAGACAGAGACAGGAGATGATGAACTCAGGGCTCTCTACATACTCATGAAGTCATCCCTACCAAGTTGCCTCCTGTGTTGAGTTGTCTGTCCCCTCCAGGCTGTGAGGGTCATATGGAAATAAGATTATCATTTGTTTGTTTGTTTATTGTTATGCAACACAATGCCTCCCAAAATAAGCCGGAGTTTGTTTCTTTGACAGATAATGGTTTGCAAATACAAAGAAAAACCACCAGATGGCACTGTTCCCCTCACAAATAAAAGGGGGCTGTTAAAAAGCGACTAGAATCCTTCCATATGATCTTTTTCATGTTCTTGGGGCTCTTTTAAGGTTTACAAGCTTAGTTCTGCATAGCTCCAAGAAATATACAAAGTTCCTAGAGCCCACTTGCGGCTTGGCTTACTTCACGAGACTCGGCAAGTTAGTTGTAAACATGAGCTGTCCTTAGTAGGCAAGGTGGCAAACATGTTTAGTCCTGGCACTCCAAAGGCAGAGGCAGTCAGATCTCTGTGAGTTTAAGACCAGCCTAGCCTGGTCTACATAAATCCCAGCACAGTCAGAACTACGTAGAGAAACCCTGTCTACAAATAATAATAATAAAGTTTTCCACAGATCAACCGGATCGAGATCTCTGTGTAGAAAGGGCCATCCATCCTTTTTGTCAAGTGCTCCTGTGTGAATCCAACAAGAAGCCAAGTTGGGGATCACTACCCTAGTACACATTGTCTCCCCCTTTTGCAGATGGGCAAACTGAGGCTCTGAGAGAGGAGAGGCTGATGCCACAGCCTGTCCTTGATCTGAGTCCTGCGCCTCGAACACGAAGTCTGGGGCTCTGAGGTCCTCTTACCTGGCCCACCAAACTAGGCTACAGGAAGAACATGTGTGTTGCAGATAGGGCGAGGGGTTTGGGGGGGGGACACAGAACAAAAGTGAAGATGTGAATATCAGTGCCCCCTCTCCCACAAAGCCAGAAGTCCTGGCACTGGGAAAAGTCGTAGGCCTTTAAGCGTCGACCTTGGGCTGCTCCTCTGACTTCTGTTTCTGTTAAATGAGGCTTTTCTACAAAGAAGAATTAGTTAAAACAATAGCATTGTACAATTTTCAGACATTTCTCTCCCTGGGGGGGATGTGGATGGTTGAGAGCATAGACCATGAAGATGTCAAGGGAAAAAAGAATGGGAAGTGAAACCGACCTATAAACACCCTTCTCCCCCTCCCCCCTCCCCCCAGTCAGATTTGGCTCTGTTCCAGACCCCAAGGGACGAGGTAAGGGTAGCCGAGGTACAATAATACGTTTAGTGCACAAACTGGCAAACACCTGTTGCAGCTAGCTGCCTACTGTGGTGGTTTGAGAACGGGGGGGGGGGGGGGAGTGTTTGCAAGCCAAGTCCAGGGAAAGGTTGAGCCTTGTGACCAAGTTCTTCACAGATTAACCCTAGCTAAAAAGTGTTTCAGTAGGAGCCTGGGGATGTAGCTCAGTTGGCAGAGTAATTGCCTAGCCTGTAAAAGCCCCTGCTGGGTTCAATCCCCAGCTGCATAAAACAGGCATGATAACATATGCCTGAAATCCTAGCATTCAAGAGGTGGAATCAGAGGTATTAGAAATCCACGGTCCCAGCACTCAGGCGGCAGATAAGGTGGAGTTCGAAGTCAGCCTGGTCTACAGTGCTACAGTTCAGGATAGTCAGGACTACACAAAGAAATCCTGTCTCAAAACAAAACAAAAAACCCCACAAGCAAACAAAATTAAAGGTCATCTTCTAGATACAGAGTTCAAGGCCAGGCTGAGCTAAGTGATACCCTGTCAAAAGAAAAGAAGACAGAGTACTAGGCTGAGCTAAGTGATACCCTGTCAAAAGAAAAGAAGAGAGTACTAGGCTGAGGCCTATCCCCACTGAATTCATCCCTCAGCCACAGCTCTCTGATCTTGGCTGGTCATCTAAGGGGGTATTCTGCAGTTTTGCCTGGCTCACATACATTGTATATGTTTAATATACACTTGTATTTATAGTCTCTTCACACTCCCACTTTTTGGAGGTATCTTAAGGTGAAGAAAAGCAGTTCTAATTGCAGCTGGATCCAGTAAAAAGGAGGCAGTTGTGGAGCCAAAGCATCTGTGTCCTCTTGGCAAGCTCAAGTTACTTAATATCTCTGTGCCTTGGTGCTGGAGATATGGTTCAGTGGTTAGGAGCACTGGCTGCTCTTCCAGAGGACTCGGGCTCAATTTCCAGAATCTACATGGAAACTCACAACTGTCTGCAACTCCATTTCCAGGGGATCTGACACCATGACACAGATGGAGGCAAAGCACTATTCCACATAAAATAAAAAAAAGAGTCTGTGCCTCAATTTCCACTTCTGTAAATATGGATGGGGGCATTTGCTTCATAAAGGCTTGTGAAGAAAATAATCAGTGTAGGTGAAGGCCTTTCTACAGGACCTGACCCACAGCCATCACTTCCTATGAGCTGTGGCTACTATGCTTAGTTTTGTTTTGTTTTCTGTTTTGTTTTGGTTTTTTTTATTGTTTTGGGGAGGGGTGGTGAGGCAAAGTCTCACTTTGTAGCCCTGGCTGTCCTGGAACCATCAGAGATCCCCCTACTTTTGGCTCCCCAGCGCTAGGATTAAAGGTATGTATGACCATGCTTGGCCAACACAACCACCTTTCAAAGTAGAGAATATTCTATTATTTGCAAGCTGGGGAAACCAGTAGCCTACAGGGGGTAAATGACCTTTCTGTGCTGGTTTTCTGTTACATAACAAATCACCACGAAAGTATTAGGTTACAGCAACACATACACCTTGTCTTTCGTTTCCGTGGAGTCCAAGCCCAGCTTAACTGCTCTGCTCACCGTCTCCCAAGGCTGTAATCAAGGTCTCTTTGGGGCAGAAGTCTGTTCTATGCTTTGGCTGTTGGCAAAATTAAATTCTTAAAGCTGTCGAACTCGTGGTACCTTGCTTCGTTGAGGTCAGCTGAGTGAGGGCCACCCAGGATAACCTGTCTTTGCTAACCCATGGATCTACTAATTGTGGACACTACTACCTGTGCAGAATCTCCCCTGTGCTATCTCGCGTAACCTTCATGAACCCAGGGCCATCCTGCACGCCTCTCAGGTCCCACCTACACCAGAAGAGAATCAAGAGCCTGGAAAGATACTCCGTGGTTCAGAGCACTCGCTGCTCTTGCAGAGGACCCAGGTTCCATTCCCGGTACCCACTTCAGGGAGCTCACGATGGCCTCTAACTCCAGCTCTGAGGAGTATGACGTCTCAGGCCTTTGAGAGCACTAGCACTTACGAATACATACATACTCATCCATAGTCCCACACACATATACATAACTGAAAATAATGAAATGGGAGACTCAAGAGAGGGCTTAGTGGTTAAGAGCACTGACTGCTCTTCCAGAGGACCAGGGTTCAATTCCCAGCACCCACATGGCAGCTCACAATTGTCTGTAACTCCAGTTTTAGGGATCCAAGACCCTCACAGAGACATACATGCAGGCAGAATACCAATGAACATGAGATAATTTTTAAATTATTTTATTTGTATTTTATGTACTTTGGTGTTTGTATGTATGTCTATGGTAGGGTGTTGGATCCCCCTGGATACTCTTAACCAGAGCCATCTCTCCAGCCCCTGAAATAATTTTTTTAAACAATGATATAAATATTTGAGAGAGAGAGAGAGAAGAACTTATAAAAGGTGTGCGTGTCATGGAGGAGGGAAGAGCTCTTGGGGACATCTTGGAGTTCTGCCATCTTGGAGTTCTGCCTTCTCCCCGAAGCGTCATAGCAAATATTGGCAGGGATCTCTGTTTGACTTGTAAGCTTTTCCGTGCCTCGCGAAGGAACTGTCCGGTGGAGGGGTCAGTGCTCAGACAGTTTCGGGAAACTGGCAGACCCTGAGTTAAGAGTGTCCAAAACTATAATCCGTGTCCGGTTCTCAGAAATGATGTCTGCTGGGGGATAGTCTTGCTCGGTGTGTATTCAGGAGCTGGTTTCTATGCCCCGGGATCTGGTTACAGTCCGGACGTGGACATAAATCTCCTGTATCAATGTTGTGTAAACGATGCTCCCCAATTATCTCTGATTGGTTAATAAAAAGCTCATCAGGAGCTGGGCACAGAACTCACGCCTTTAACCCCAGGTGGAGGCCAGGCTGTCTGGTCTACAAAGAGAACCCAAGACAGCCAGGACTGTTACACAGTGAAACCCTGCCTTGAAAAACCAAAAAAAAAAAAAAAAAAAAAACTGATCAGTTGGTCGAGAGGACAGAGGCAGAACTTCCATTCCAATAGGGGGGAGGGGAGGTTCATCTCCCGTAAGGACCAGAAAAAGAACATAGAGAGAGCCACGAGGAGGTCGCCATTAGGAGGACAGAGAGAGACAACAGATGGCCAAGGTGAGACTGAGATGTCAAGTAACAAAGGTCACTTGGCTGGGAGGCAGCCAGACCAGCATTAATTGGGTTAGAATAGATGAGAATCTGCCCAGTTACAGGGCTTAAAGCTTGTTGAATAAATCTAATAGGTCTGTGTCAACTATTTGGGAGCTAAAACAAGCAAAAGAAAAAAAAATTACAATAACACAACAGATGTCCAGAGTCAGTGCTAGCTTGCCATATCAAAGCAGGACAGGTAATGAAGCACACAGTCACCAACCTGTATATTGGTTTGGACATGAAATGCCCACCTCCTGAAGGCTTAAGTTTATTAAAAGGCTTGGTTGCCAAGTTCTGGGGAAGTGACTGAATCCTGAGGCCTCTGATCTGATCAGAGGCTTAACCCTTCCCTTAATGGATTTATAATATAGCATTATGGGGAGGCGGTAAACAGCAGAGGTGGGGCCTAGTTCGAGGAAGTAGCTCACTAAAGGTGTGCCCTGAAAATGTATACTTGCCCGATTCCTTGTCTCTCCCTGCTTACTGCATACCATGAGGTGAGCAATTCTGCTCCAGTAAGAGCGTGCACCGTTATTTTGTCTCATCAGGGGCCCAGAAACACAGAGCCAGGTCAGGACAGACTGCCTCAAGTCAAAAATGAATCTTCCCTCCCCATACCTTTCTCTCAGGTATTTTTGAGTATGAGAGTGTGACTAACAGAGCTGCCAGGGAGTCCTGCTCCCCTGGCACCCCTGCCTTTGTGCCGTTTGCTGTGACAGTCAATAGGAGTGGCCTGTATGCATGACTAATGAGATGTTATGAAAGGCAGAGTGTTTGACTTCCAAAGCCCGGACATAAAAGGCCGTGTGGCCTCTACCTGGCTCTCTTGGATCACTCACTCTGGAAAGCCAGCTGCCGCGTCACGAGGACACACATTTCTATGTTAATCCGTGAGGTGAGCAGCTGAGGCCTGTGGCCAACATCGAGAGCCAAGTTTCCAGGCATGTGAAGACACCCTGTTGGAAACAGATCCTGCTGCCCAGTGAGCCTTTCAGATGACTAACGTAGCCCATACCTGGATCACAGCTTTATGACACCGGCCCCTCCTCAGCCAAGCCATCCACCTCAGCTGCTCCTGGGTTTCTGACTCACAGAAACAATGAGTTGTGTCTATCACTGTAAGCCGTAAGTTGAAGGTCGACGTTCCATAGCAATAATTAACTAATACTTCTGGAGTATCTTACCCAAAGGAGCGTGAGATATATCACATCTGTGGCACACTCCTGTAGTTCCACAACTCTAGGAGGCAGAGGCAGTCAGATCTCTGCTCTACAAAGCAAGTCCAGGACAGCAAGGGCTACACAGAGAAACCCTGTCTCAAGAAACAAAAGAGATATCACATCTGATGAGAGTGCCGCTCAGTACAGTCAACCTCTGGCCTTCCCCTCCACAGGCTGTGGAAAAGGCAGGCAACAGCTACTGATTCTGGACAAACACGGAGGTGTCAGCCTCCACTTCAACTCAGAAATTCTTTCAAGAGCGGACACACTGTATCCACACCATCCTGTTCCAGGAGCTGTAGCTACATGTAGCCACTGAACATTTGGGAAGAGGTTTTACAACACAATCTTTAAGTTTTAAATTAAGTTGAAAAAGCCACAGTGGCTGGTGGCTACAGTGTTAAAGAGCAGTTGTAGCAGATTAAGAGTGAATGCTACAGGAAAACGGATGAGTTAGAGAAACTAACCCAAGGGACCCAGGAAAACAATATAGTAGGTCAAGTCCCTAGAGATAGGAGACCCCATGCCGGGTGTGGTGGCGCACGCCTGTAATCCCAGTACTCAAGGAGGCAGAAACAGGCAATTTCTGTGAGTTTGAAGCCAGCTTGATCTACAAGGCAAGTCCAGGACAGCGAAGGCTACACAGAGAAACCCTGCCTTGAAAATCCAAAAAACCAAAGAGAGGTTGAGGAGGAGACAAAGAGATGAGGCCGCATCTATTACTTCAGGGGGCTGTGAGGGACTGAGCATCCTCCAGCGAAGGGACTATGGGCAATGTAAACCTTGATAGTCACTATGGTCAGGAGTAAACTCCGGAAGCTCACTGTATGGGTTCAAATCCCACTTCTGCCACTGGCAAACCGGATAGATCTGGACAAGTTATTTAACCTTGCAGATGAGGTTTTCCCATTTGTAACAACAGCCGTTTCAGGCTGTTGTGCTAATGGATTCAGATGTGAAACAGAGTCTCTGGCATGTGCTGTAGGTGATGTGAGGGTCCAGCATGATGACTACCGACTCTCCTTGGTGCTTCTTCACATTAGGAAACGCAGTGGTGCCAAACCCAAAACACCAATGTCAATGAACCACCAACTGGGGTTCCACTTGGCAGAGACAAGCTCCCGGCTGGCTGTGCCCTCGGTGAAAGGCTCCTTACTGCTTTGAAGGCTCATGGTGTTTGCGTGTGACAACTACAGCAGGGACTACAGAGACCAGGAAGGTGACTGAGAAATGTGTGGAAACTGGCATGCTTCCTTTCAGCCACTCCTATTCATCAGTACACACTTGGCCATTGACGAAGTGTAATTTTTTTGAATCCCTAACGACTTTCGCAGAAAGTCTCATGATTTCTACATGGTGACTCATTTGAGGGTTATTTTTCACTCTTTGGATTTGCCATTATGTGCATACATGCATATGACCTCCATGGTACACTTGTGGAGGTCAGGGGTCAGCTTCAGGAGTTGGTTCTCTCCTTCAGTGGTGGAATGCAGGAATTACACGCCAGTCCTCCAGCTGACTTGACAAGTGTTCTTATCCTCTGAGCCATCTCGAAGGCCTCAGGGATTCTTTTGTTGGTTTTTAAACCTGTAGCTGCTTAATGAAAACATGGAGAGAGACAGGACGTGCTGTTCAGAGCAGCAGGGTGTTTGCTGGCATCTTTCCTTACTTCCACCAAGGCCCTGCCGCAACCCATGTCCGTCCCTACGTCTGGCACCCCAAACGGTTTCTCAGGCTTCACTGAGTTCAAGGGGTATACGTCCCAAAAGGGATGACTGCCTTTTTAAGAACCTTTAAACTGCTATTAGGCATGGTAGCGCACGTCTTTAATCCTAGCACTTTGGAGGCAGAGGCAGGTGAATCTCTTGAGTTCAAGGCCAGCCTGGTCTACAGAGTGAATTCCAGGGCAGCCAGGGCTACACAGAAAAAAATGTCTTAAAAAACCAAAAGTGATAAAATAAAATAAAATGACAAGCTGACAATCTAGAAAGTACCAGGTTTTATTATCTTCTTATAAAAAAAAATCAGTAACAGATGACAGCGTGAGGGGGGGGGGCACAGAAAAGGTACAGGCACCAAGGCTGGAAGAGGACCCAGCCAGCTGGGACCCTGCACTGAGGTGGTGATGGGAGCTCACAGGCACAGGGTATGGCTGAGGGGGTGGTATGATCTGCCCATCCCCCCACACCCCAGACCCTGTAAGTCACAACATCTCTCCTCTATAAGAGGGAGAGTCCCAGATGACAGGACTCATTGGGGCCTTCTCCTCCTCCTCCTGGTCCCCTTCCCTTGCCCCAGGAGAGCTGAATATTAACCTGCTAAGCCAGCTTAAATCTCTTAGCAATGTACCCAGCGGATGATGAGCGAGCACTCAAATTGTGGCGGTACAACTGAGGAATGGATTTCTAACCTCGCGATCTGAAGTGAGCGAATTAATACAGCCACACGCGCGTGGCCCATGTACTGGATCATGCACCTAGAGAGCCTGGAGAGAGCAAACCCAGCAGGCGCTCCTCTGCTGGGACCCCAGCAGAAGGCAGAATGAGTCGTAAGAGTCTGGTACCCTCAACTACTCCAGAGCTCAATCGAAAGAAGGCACCAGAAAACAGGGCAAGAGAAGGGGGCGACACCCTAGCCACATGAAAATTCAGTCACGCAGCCACCCAGCCAACATGAAACCTGTAATATCATTCTATATCCTAAAAAAATATATTTATCTATTCTTCTAGAACCAAGTAAGGATAATATATTACACGAATACATACACAAATATCCCACTATCCCCTACATTATATTCTGCAATCAGCTAGAACACTGTAGCTACTTCTTAGACAAAGCAACTTCAGAAAGGGCCAAGGTCATAAACAAGAGTGCAGAACATTTTTTAAAAAATGGTGTTGCGGGGGAGGGGATACAGTAAAGAAAGGAAGATGGAGAAAAAGCAGCCCTGTCTGAAGCTATAAATAGTAAAAAAAAAAAAAAAAAAAAAAAAAAAAAAAAAAAAAAAAAAAAAAATTAATAAAAATCTTATCTTCAATTCTTCTCTCATTTCAAAAAACAAACAAAACATAAAAACCATGGAACACAAACTCAGCTGGTGCAATGGAAACATTCTAGAGAGAACATCTGCACATCCCCACACTCTGAGCCCAAGCACAGACACCTGCATAAAGGAATGAACCATTAAAAAAAAAAAAAATTAGTTTTACAAATCTTCTGCAAACGCTTTTCAGCATGAGCTTTCAGCACTTCACCCCTCCCTCCCCAGATTAAAAAAAAAAAAAGGTTGAGTTCCAAAGTCACTAAGCCTAGGATGGCCCAAGGCATATCACAGAGACTCCTTGTAGCATGAGCATGGGTGGACACATCTCAAGACACACAGGGTTCTAGCTCCTTGTGCCCCGACAGATGGACAGAAAAAGCATGTGGAAGGCAGTCAGGATTAACACAGTAACCCCTTTGCCTCGAGAATCAAGGCAGTCATAGGTGAGGCATGTTCAGTTCAGGCTGTAAACTGGTCCTACATTCCTACTCTGGAAATTGGGGTGGGGGGGTGCAGAGAGGAAAAAAAAAAGACCCAATCCCACACTTGCCTTCAGAAAGGGGAAAATCAGTCCCAATTTTCTGCCAAGGCAACAGAGACCACCCCTCCCCCGCAATTCAACGTTGAGTCAGCACAGTAGATCCTAATCTCTTCTGAGACCAGAAGGTGACGAGACATGCAGATGCCAACAAGTCGGCATTAAGGTGCCCTCCCTCTGCCAACGCCCACCATCCACCATCCTTTGACTCCTCTCCCCAGTCAGTCCAAGCAGCACTCATGGGACGCTTCACGCGTAGAACTCGTTGGTGGGGGCTTTTTTGTAGATGGGTTTCTTGCCCAGGTCGTAACTGCCTTCATCTTTCTTCTTCATTCTGTACACCAGCAGCAGGATCAGGAATATGGCGAAGAGGATGCCAACCACGCCGCCCACGATCAGAGCTGGAGAGGAGGAGAGTGAGAGGTGAGGCTGCGCGTGCTCTCCCTCCCAGCATCAGTCAGACAATCTCCCTGTGACCACATCCTGTACGCAGCCTCATTAGCTTTGACCTTCATGACTTCCATATGACGGAATGACTACTAGGTAGTAAAGACCGCTCTTTCATCCTTCATCTACCCTAGTCCAAAGCTCAGGCTCATTCCAAGCGTCACGCAGACTCTCCAGCACCAAGTCAGCATTAGGCTGGGAACAAGGGGAATGGCAGGATGCAGCAACTCACGTAGACACTGTCATCCTTACCACCCTTCCCTGTGTGCGTGGGTCCACCTACACCCACGCATCCACAGATGGGCTCTGTAGTCTGCCAACACGCAGAATAATGTCCACACTGTTCTAGGACAATGACCCATTATCGTGGTTTGCGGTCCCACGTCTGAAGACACTGGTTCCCACTGGCTTCTTCTCCTCGAACCTCAAACTTTCCTCACCTACTGATGTCTGAGGAGGCAAGTTTCTCTCATTGCGATATGGAAGAACCTTCCTCGTATTTTCCCCTACAGACTGAAAGAAGTCAGTCTACTTAAAGTGCTCAGAGCGGTGCCTGATGCCATTCGGATGCTCAAGCCTCCTGAGCTGTAAACCTCTATAGATTTCTTGTGTTCCTCGCCACCCTGACCTAGGCCTGCGGAACAGTAAGGACTTAGTAAGTGGCATTCGTGGTCGTGGTCCAGCTCGGTGAAGAGCACCAGGCTGGGGGCGGGCAGAGGTAGGCTTTCGGCTTTCCTCCAGGGTGAGCATCTGGCTATATCCACCACGCCAGGTGGCCTGAATCCTTCCTGTGGCAGATTCCATCTCCTAATTCGGTCTTACCCAGGCTAAGAAGATTAACTTCCCATCCCTCACACACTACACATATACAGACAGGAGCGGAGCAGACACAAGAACCAAGAGGTTTTTCTACCAAACGAACAACAAAAACACCAAAAAAAAAAAAAAAAAAAAATGCTGCCGAGGTAGCAGAAAAAGTGTAGGCACTAACTCTCAGGCAGCTATCTCCTTTCCGTTCTCAGCGCCCTTCCCTCCATTCCTTCACCTATGCTGAGAGACTGCAAGGGGAGCAAGGGCCAGCCACAGCTTCAGATGCCAACTGCGCTCCAGGTCCAAACACCGGGCTCACCATGTCCTGCCTCTTCCACCTGGCCAAGCTATTTAGGTTCCACTTCAGGTTGCTGGAGGTGAAGCGGGGGGGGGGGGGGGGGGGGGGGGGTCTGTGAGTACACTGGGACCACATGAAACACACTCCTAGGTGCCACTTAAAAGCTACTGAAACGGAGGGTATGTTTTCAGCTGTCATTTCAGCCTCCACTGTCCCTTCCACGGTGAGGTCACAGGAGCTAGAGAAACGGATCCTTTCTAGGAAAGCGCTTACGCTGGTGTGACCATGAAGTGGAAGAGTAAAGGGATGACCTGGCATTAGCTCTTCTCTTGCTGCATGAGCCAGAGCAGGGCATTCAAGTCTCCCCACAAGAAAAGCCTACTGAGCGGAACTAAAACTCCACAAATGTAAATAAAACCTGTAGACAGCACGTCTAAAATTCACCGAGAGTGAAACTCTGCGGTTGAAGGGGGACAGAACAGTTCTGTCCACAAAGCTCGAAACTTCTACTGCTTAATGGTTTCTAAGGGCCTTGCTATGACAGCCACACAGACTGATAAAGAAAAAGCAGAATGTATGAATGCAGACAGGAGACCAGAGGCGGGCAGTGCTTCAAAGCCACATCACCAGGTCCACAAGACAAGGAGAGTGTGATCCAGAACAGGTGAAGGATGGAGGGAGATATGACCACAGCATAAGGGCACAGGGCTATTCATTTAAGCCTCAGCTTCCTCTGTCCCACCTGGCTCTCAGGAGACAGGAAGTACCTAGCAGGGGCCTGCAGTACCAACACCTCTTCACCAGCCAGTCCACCCAGATTGCCTAACTGCAAAGTTTGCGCCTTCCTGACAACCTGGTGTGGAGACTCCCCCCCCAAAGTGGCACTACCCACAACTGATGCCCCCAGCCAAGCTTGACACGGTCCCTCCTAAAGACTTATGCAGAGCAGCACATTCCCCGTCATGGGAATGTCCTCATTTTATGTTACAGAATTCTGTAACATAAAAACATCCTATAACGATAACAGGAACAGAACAGCTCTTTAGCAATTTACAAAGAAATTTCATAGTTCATCTTTCATGCGCTAACTCAAGGAGGAAGGCAACATCATTCCCGTTTTACAGAGGCAAACTGGTCAAGAGCGTCCCTGCCAAGGTCATCAGGCTATCAAGAGATAAGCAGGAGAAAGGGGAGCCAATCTAATTCCCAAGGGGCCTCCAGGCTTTCAAGGGAAATTAACCCTTAAATAATTAACTCCGGATGCCAAACTCGGAAAGAGGAAAGGCAATGAATAATAGCTGGGGTGCTTAAGGAAACAATTCCTTTTCTATTCTTTAGAAGCCTTTGATATGCATTTGATTCTCCCTCCCAACCACCCCTGAAGGGAGATAAAGCCCTTAGATGCCCCAAGGCAAAGGTAGAAGGCTAAAAGAACTCCTGTCTGCTTCCCTCTTCACAGAGACCTGTGCGAAGGAAGTAGCCTTACCTGCCAAGACCTCAGTTCTCTCAAAAATGTTGCCGTCCTGGGCAGTGCTGGACATGGACACTTTGTTGGAAACATCATTCCCCACTTCGGGGGGAACCCTCTTGGGGATGACTTCGTTCTCCTCCAGTTCCTTGGGTTCTGAGGGGACACGGATCCCAGGCTGCGGCTTCTCAGGGATGTGGTTATTTAGTGGCACCTGAAAGGGAAAGAAGGTGGAGGAGCACTGAGCACCTCTGAAGAGGAAGCTAGGTGGAAGGGGACACAAGAAGATGAGATTCGGAGACGAGCACAAGCCAGGGTGTGGGGAGGGGCAGCTCTCACACACTCTGGCACAAATATGCTGGAGTAACCACTACAAGTGGCGCGGCAATGCCCACTTGCCCTCCAGGAAGGCAATTCTGCACCTGCGACTCTAAGGCACAGAGTGTTGTGTCAGGCATGTTAAGTGTTTTACTTCTAGGATAGCCAAAGTTTACTGACAATCATTTCATCAATAAAAGGAACGGTATGCAGCTGTAAAAATGAGGGGTGTTAGATGATGCAGGAACACAGGACCCCTTTGAGGGCACAGAAATGCACGTGCAACTTGAAGACAGTGCTGGCAAACAGCTGCCAATGCACACGAAAAGAGGCTGGGGTTGACAGTCTTCTCCAGGGAGAGTGGCCTCCCTGGCCTGCCCAGGCCTGTCCCAAAATGAGCCCAGTGCACCCATACAAGAGTCGTCCTACAGAACGAAATCCTGTTATTTATTCACAGGGCTGTGTTTCCCAGCCCTCTCCGTAAGTGCGTCCTCCCTGTGGAAGAGCAAAGGGAGGAGACCTGAGGGGCGTGGAGCAGCACTCACCAAGGGCTGGGTCACTTCAGGGGAGGTCCTGGGTTCCTCTGTGTCATCTGCAAGGTTCAAAGAATGGTTGTGTGAACATGAGGTCAGTCAGCTGTGGCTAGTCTAACCGGAGTCCTAACTCCCAAGTCCCCCGGCCTGAAACACGAGATTCCTGGGACACCAGCTGCAGTAAGTACACCGGTAAGACACAAAGCTGCCGGGTGCTTTTCAGGCTCTGAACCCTCACTACGTCAAGTACGGATCCCTAGGCAACAGCGGTGTGCGGACGCTGGTTAAAAAGTACAAGGTCCCTGGACTGAGGGGCACACGTCTGAAATCCCAGAACACCAGAAGTTTAAGACTACTTGACGAGGACCTGAAGACCAGCTTGTACCACACCGGAAGAGCCTGTCTCAAACGCTGAAAGCTGCAGAGGAAGAAGCTCAGTGGTAGAGCACTTGGCACAGGGCCCTAGGCTCAATCTCTATCTGAGAGGACTGACCAGCCTTGGGCCAAATTAACTTGAATTTACATTTGAACAATTACATTTGAACAATCTCTGCAGGGAGCTTAACCTTTGGGAAGGAAGCAGTTAATTGTGATGCTAAATGCAACACAAGGCAACATAAAATTAAACCACAGGAGACAAAGAGTTTGCTAGCTAGTCTGAGGCAACCCTTTGGAGGCTGTCCTAAAACATAAATGCGCCTCACAGTATTTACTTCTAAAATTCCCAGTGCACGGCGGGTGTTTAGAGTTCTAACTCGGTTCAGTCCACTACAGGGATTCACAATCCTTCCAACACTTGTTTTAGCAGCTGTCTGATCCAAAGGCCAGAAAGTCAGAGGCCACGACAAGACAGCCCTGACACCTGGTCACACCCCAAGAAACCTCCGTCCCCATCTCATCTGAAACAAGGGCTTACTTCCGCTCCCCTGTCCACATCTCAGCTCACACACGCCCCTCCTACTCCACCCCCTTTTTCTGAGCCAGTACTTTTCCTTTCCAAGGAGGAGGGGCACTCAGGGTCCTCCCTCAACCCTCCACTAGAGGGAGGAGCCTAGCGGACAGGTTCAGGCTGGTGCCGGCAAACTCAAGAAAACAATGAATTCAAAGGTTGTTTACAACTCGCCTCAGAGACCCCGGGGGTGGGAAAAAAAAAATGTTACTTCAGTTTCCCCTTTCGTGGGGTAGGAGGAAGCACCTTGGGAAAATTTCCACTAAAACCCAATGCAGCCCAGGGTCCCCCAGCCTGCCCAAGCACATCCATACCGAAATCTCCGGAGCCCGACAGCTCAAAGTCATCTGACCCCTGCCCGAAGACCCCAGCATCTTCATCATCCGGAAGGGCTCCAGAGAAGTATCTGCCTTCCAGGAGGTCCTGGGGGTCTATGACCTCAGTCTCTCGAATCTAGGAAGATTTAAAATAAAATAAAAATCATCATCATCATCATCATCCAAAAGCTCCAAACCCCTCCTTCTGGACATCCCAGAACCAAAGTGAAGCAGGATTAAAGGGCCAGATCAGATGGAACTCACTTTGTAGACCTGGCTGGCCTCGAACTCACAGAGATCTACCTGCCTCTACCTCCTTAAATACTGGGATTAATGGCTTGCGCCGCCACCACCCAGCTCTATGCAAGTCTCTCTACCATTCTGGGTTAATAAAAATATCTCAACTGGTAACAAATAAGTTATTAGTATTTTTAGGTATCATTTACTGAGCCCCCTGAAGCATCTAAGGCTGCTTATAATAACTTATTAATTCATTTTACAACTAAGGTCACTGGGCACAAAAGGCTATAAATCATTCTCTTGGTGGCACAAGGGACAGGCGGGAGGGAGGACTGCATTCAGGGCCACCTGACTTCAGGGCTAGAGGTTTCCACGCACACAGGCAGGCCCAGGCTAGAGTCCCACAACAACAGCAGCTGATTTTCAGATGGAAGGGAGTAGGCTACCGGCTCAGGGCCTGCCCAGTCAGTGCACGTTCCCCAACTGAGTCAGACTGCACCGAGACAGGCAAGGCAGGCTCACTCACACCCCAAGACAGCCACAGAGCACAGCTCAGACCTGGTGACTCAAAAGGCTTACACTCCTGAGTTCATGGATTTCTCTCTTCCTCTGCCAGCTCCGGGCAGGGCACAAAGACCCTATAGATTCTTGCTCCCACAGACCATGTCACTCAGCCCCATCCTGCAGAGAGTTCACTCGGCACCCGGGAAGTCTCTTATGAAGCCCCCTCAAACACCACTTATTCTGGCCCCTCCCTAACCCTGTCTCCTAGCCCAGCTGGGTATAAAGACACCTGGGGCCTAGGGTGCACTCAGGTGTCCACTGCCCCTTCCGCTCATCTCTGGTCTCAGAGTTGTTCTTGTAAACAACAACCCAGGTGCAAAGGTCACTGTTCCTAGCCTTCCCTCCTTCAGTCCCCAGGACTACAGGCCCTGCCTGGAAGCTCAGAATATGAGCTAGGCATTCAGATCCGGGGAGGCCCTGTTCCCTTTCACAGAATTCTTAAGACAATTCAAACCAGAAATAAGGTAGTGACTACCCTAAGGCCACACAAAGAATTAGCCACACAAAACTTAGGGTAGAAAGTGCCCAGGTCTGTTTTTGACGGCTCCAGGATGTTCTTCATTCAACCAAGGCCACAGTGACACAGCGGGGGGGGGGGGGGGGATAGTGAGAAGGAGTGCCGGTCTACCCCTGAAAGATTGAGTGGCAGGGGAGCAGCTTATAGAACAGGCTCTGCTCCTCCTCCACTCTCCCATAGGCTTGGGGTGGGGGGAAGGTGGCAGGAGAGAACTGTGCCTTCTATCCACCCCCCGGGCTCAGGAAACTAGATTATGGGGAAGGGAGGTGGAAGGAAATTGGGGAGGCATCGCTCTCTGGGTGGGGGTGGGGGGAATCAATGCAGAGTGCTTGGTATGCGTGGGAGTGGGGAGCCAGCAGGGGTTAAAGCCCTGCTTAGGGATGACTTCATGACTCCGGAATCGGGAGCTGTGGGGCTGCTGGTACTGGAATTCCAGCCCCCGCGCTGGGCCCGTGCCTGTGGCTTTGGCTTGGCAGCACAGTGAGAGGGCTTTCTCCATGGCTGTACAAGTGCCCTGGACATTAGGCAAGACCCTCCTTCCTCCTCCCCCCCACCCTCGCTTACAAATTCCCTAGGGCTCAAAATCCGAAACAGCAAGACCTCCATGGCTTACAGTGTGCCAGGCCTTAACATGCACGCACTTGGGATGACGCAGACCCTTTTGGCAAGGGTGGAAACCAAGGCTCAGAAAGGCTAAATCATTTCTCAAAGGTCACACAAGCAGAAAGTGACCAATGAGGCTAGCAGCTGGGTGTGAGATCACCTGGGCTTCTAGCCACAGACACAGAAGTATGTCTGTGCTTAGGGCTACTGGACAGCCCTAGGCTAGACAGGAACCCTAAGTGGGTGTGTCTAATCCAGCCAGGAGTGGGGGTTAAGAGGAGATGGAGGCAAGAAAAACACAGAGGCAGGAAAGCAGGTATACATACTTTGACTACCAAAGCCTCACAGACTGATCACGGGATGTTAAAGTTCGAACTCCTCAGGATGGAACTTGGAGGTCCTTTGCGCAGCTCTAGTCTCTGACCTACCACACCTCACCCCTAGGAAGGAGCCTTGGAATGTAAGTCATACACCTTAGTATGTGAAAGTGTTCCGGTGTTTCAAAACAACCCAGGAGATTGGAGATAAGCATGTTCATTGGCTGTTAGTTATTATCCCAATCTTCTATCACAGACATGAGGGCCAAGAAAGCTGTAAAGATCTGACTGTGGTAAAGCTGAGGCTGAAGCCCGACGCAGGGGTGCATTCCTGTAATCCTAGCACTCAGGGAGGCAGAGGCAGGCGGTTTCTCTGTGAGTTGGAGGCCAGCCTGTGGGGGGGTGGGGAGGGGAACTGAGGCTAAAACCAAGATTTATTCCAAGTCCAGCCCTGTTTGAAACACCTAGCTCCCCTACCCCTTATTTTTGAGACAGGGTCTCTCCCTAGCTTTGCTTGGCCTGGCACTCCTTACGTAGCCTCAAGAATCTGGCATCTGCCTCTTCCATACTGGGATTAAAGGAGTTTCGACAGGGTACCCAGCCCCCTACCCATCATCTTCCAGAGGAAAGGAACAATTAGTCTGAGATCACACTGGAATCCAGGGCACAGCCAGGATCAGCTCCGGGGGTTGGAAAGCTCTCCAAGAGGAGTTCATTCTCCAACAGGTGAAGAGACATGAGAAATTCAGCCTCCCGGAGCTCAGAAGGCACCTCTCTCGGTCCCTCTTTCTGGTTCCTCCTCTGCTCACAATCTCTTAAAATGAGAGAAAAGCTCCCAAGTGGACTGGAGCCATTGAGGACAAGACAGAACCAAACCCAAAGGGATTGGGAGCAATGGTTTGTTTGTTTGTTTGTGTGGCTGAGAAGGTATCAACAGCCTCTCCTTCCCCCACTCTCTTTTCAAACAAGCTCCATTCAGTAGTCTGGGGTGGCTTTGGAAAACCAGGCCACCCAGCAGGCTGACCCAGCCCCGACCAGAGGGGGACCCAGCCCTGCTCCTGACTACAGATGTGGTTGATCTGTTCACCTCAGCTCACCCCAACCCTGCCCAGAAACACGCGTCCTCTCCGTGTATATGCTTGGACGTGCACACCCTCTGGGTCCTCAGGTCTCACCTTTGTCCCTTTCACAAACACACAGCAGGAAGCTGATGAACAGGGCAGTGGGTCTGGGTGCAAAGGCTCTTGCTGGCCCTGTACCTGGTAGACACCACACCTGAATCAGTGCTGACAACTAGAGGTTCTGGATTCTTTCTCAAACCATCCAGGATGTAGGTGCACTTTTACTGAAGTTAACACCTGCCGGCAGAAGGCACCTGAGGCCACTGAGCCTAACGGTCTTTTTTATGACCTCTGAGACAGATTACTTTGCCAAGGTCAGCCAGGCAGCTAGCAGCATGGCTGGGTTTAACAACCTAGCTCTCTCACTTCCTGCCCCCTTGCCAGAGCCTTGGCTGTCCCCAGCATTCTCAGCAAACACACAGGCTGTTGCATGAAACTAGAATTAGAACCAACTGATCATATCCCAAAGTCCTGCAATGCCCGTCACCCCAGGAAAAGCATGGAGACTGGGGTGACTGTCAGAAATATCCCCTGTCAGGCTCCTCCTCTGCATACGGTCATTTAATCCACTCAACATCGTCATGGAGTGTTCCACCTGGTCTACAGGTGAGTCGTTCCTTTGGGTGTCACAGCAAGGAAGGAACAACACCAGGCTCAGACCCAGATCTTTCTCCAGGCCTAAACACAGCCAGTCTCCCCATCTTTCACCTTCGGCCTAAGCAGAAAGCCCACAGCACACTGGCCAAGCTGGGGCACCCTTCCCTTGCCCAAGAAAAAACAAAGGTAAAAGTGATACTGCTTCCACAAAGGAACAGAAACTTGGCTGGAGCACCAGGGAGGAGTTCAGGGTCAGGGCTTGGTTAACTGTGGGCTAATGACAGCCTCCTAGCTGCCTCCTCCCTAGAGAAGGCAGGGTCAGGGCCACACCTACCATGCTCTGAGGAAGAGACCATAAGGATCATAGTGGGGCAAGTGAGTTGAGGAGCAAGGGAACACACATGGGCACCAATCATACGACTCCCCTTAGTGGCTCTGGAGCTCCACCAACCCCATTTCCTACAGTGGGCAAGAGCCAAACACAAATCATAGTCCTACCATCAGTCTAGGAGTTTATTCTGGCTCAAGAGTCCTCAGTTTCCTCTTTTGTAATCAGGGCTGGTAGGCACCTAGCAGAGTGATTGGAGATCACGGGAAACTTGGCCACCGCGTGCACAATCCTAGCCAGCAGGTGACCTGGTGGATGGCAGGTGCTCGATACACAATGGTCATTACCAAACCCCACCCACTTTCCCGCTGGATGGGGGAGAACGAGGGAACGTGCAGCAGCAGCTGAAGGGCTTCGGATGGAGGTCCTGGCCATCGGGTGGGTGGTGCTTCTGCAAGCCAGAGAGGGCTATGACATGACAGCCATGCTTCCGCTACTGCTTGAGACCTGAGGTGTCCAAAGGAAAGGTCGGCTTCTTCAGACTTAGGGATGGGTAGGTAGAAACCCGCCCAACCTAAGTTCTGAGCACATTATCCCAAGCAAAAGGAGACAGAGGAAACCTGTATTTTTCCAGAAGTTAGCGGAGGGCACTAACTAAAGACATCTGAAATTCTTCTTGTGACCTAGATCCTCTATTCCTGGCTTGCCTTGGGGGGGGGGGGACAATGACAACAACAACAAATCTAAAGGGCAAAAAGAAATCACACGTCAATGTTCAGTCTGATGCCCTGGTACCTGAAAGGGTTAAGGAAGGTTTGGGGAGTGGGGGTGGAGTGGGGGTTCAAATGT